CTGAAACTTTGCAGTTATGTAGTACCACATATGTACAACAATCTACCAAAGTTTCAGCGAATTTGCTTTTGTAGAATGCGAGAACGGTGAATTCTTAAAATCGTTTCAGAATATCTGGAACACCCTTTATATAGGTATACATGCTAACAAATAATTCTAAACCTACTAGCACCATCGCGTCAAAAATAGGGGATATATAGTTGTATAGGACAGTAAGTAATTCTAAAGGTCCACGTGCTTAGAGCCTTTCAAATGGACTCAGACCTAGTCGGATCCCAGCAGAAAAATTATCTGTTGACCGGGCTCGGGACCAAAAGTCCTTGAACCCGATAGACTCTACTTACAAAAGATCAGTCAATTAGGTCCGAATCCAACAATTTTAACTCTACCGGGCCCAGAAATTCTTATATCCGATGGGCTCTACACGTGCTCCATAGTTGATAAAAGAGAAATTATGATGAGTCTGTAGAGCGTGTATTGTAATGATTTATTCGAAATACTTGGATTAATAAGCAGAATATGGTTGGAGTTGAATGAATTTGATATCTTTTAAATATAGTAGGATGCACTGTTCTCGCCTTCTGATAATAAGCAGGATTCTTCTTACTATTGTCTGTTTCAAAATATAATGCGCTCCACTATTTTTCCAATAACTCAAGTGCAATATTAGCTACAGAGCTGCGATTTTCATCAGTCGATAGAGGAGATACGGGGAGGTCTTTTTATCAAATATTGTGTAAGACGAAATCGTTTTAAAATCAATCATTTCTGCAAGCTATTGCAAAAAATGCATGAAAACTGGTTATCATTTCCATGAAATTTTGGTTTTGATATGTGATTTAGATAGAGTAACTTCAGTTCTATAGTTTAAGGTATAACTCGAATAATTATCTTCCAACATCGTAATGCTAAGCAAAACAAATTATTCATTTGCTCCCTCGAAAAATATGAATTTTTCTTAAGTTTTAAGCAAATTTTCTTACTTTTTCTTAAAATTTCACGGAAATGATAGTCAGTTTTCATATATTTTTTGCAATACTTTGCAGAAATGATTGATTTTAAAACGATTTTGTCTTACACAATATTTGGTAAAAAGACCTCCCCGTATCTCCTCTATCGACTGATGAAAACCGCAGCTCTGCAGCTCTTGGCGTACTTGAATTATTGCAAAACCAGTCGAGCGCATTATATTTGAAACGGACAATAGATCTACTAACTCCACTCTCACTCCTTGTTGGCGAAAATGAGAGTCATTTCCTTTCCAAAATTTAGTTCGAAATGTAAGACCCCATAGACGTACATAACGTCAGCACAAATGATGAACAGAACCTTAAAACAAAAACCGCAACTTCTCACACGATTTTCTGGTTTACATATTCTAGGATTGTGCCGACTACCCACATCTATCAAGAAGAATGAGACTGTTCGTAAAAAGTGGTACGAAATCGATACAAAATTAAAGAAAACTAAAACAATGTTGAAATATATACGACAAGAAATCGTATATCGGCGTCGTCATCATTGGGTTTCACTTTATCGTCAACAAAAACGATCGTCATTTGAATACATGGGAAAGAAAACTATGGAACGAATTCGAGATCAATTTAGGGCCCAAATTGCTTCGATAGGCAAAAGAAAATTGAAGCCGATTCGTGATGAGAGAAAAATTTTACGTCCATATAAACATATGATCACTTACGGATATCACAAAAAGTATGATAAAATTTCAGCTGTTAGAAATGTAAATAAATTTCAATGGGGAGCCAACCTTCTAAATGCACACTTATATTTTCCTGAGGCAGCCATAGCTTCTGCTCGTTCCGTTACCTGTAATAATCAGAAGATATTACTTCGCTATTGTAACCAACGTATATTTATCTATTCAATGCCTGCCAATCATTGTAACAGACCATCAAATAAATATTTAATTAATATATTTTCAAGCCTAGATAATATTGGACCAGGATTATTTGATAAGCAGCGACCACCACTATCACGACCACGACCACCAAAACCACGACCACCGCCACTACCACGACCACTGCCACCAGCGCCTCCGGGTCAAGCTACAATAAAGTGGCCGAGAACGCAAACACAAAAACCAGAAACTCAAACTGCAGCTCTCGCTAAGTCTCAGCATCATAACTATATTCCAAGTCAATTAGCACAGTCAGTGAACCAGAATAAAAAGAAGTCTAAAGGACAACGAAAGAAAAATTGCTAAGTGACAATTTTAATATTATTATGACACGCACATAAAATATGCCGTAAAATAAATGTATGATAAGTATTATCCATGTATGTAGGTGTGAGTATGTGCAGATCTGTGGTGGGTGGTGTGAGTGTACCTGGGGTGTGGGTGTGGATGGGATGTGAGTGTAGGTGAACGTGAACGTGGATCTGCGTGTAGGATGGATGTTACTAGATTCGTGTGAATCTTGCAAAAATCATCCTCATACCGACACGACAAATCCATAGTCACAACCTCACCCACACTCTCATTTCTATTGAACTTAAACTAAAGAAGCCGTTTACGAAATTTGTGCTCTTCTTTCTATAAGAAAAACACTTGTTTTCTCAAATTTTTCCAGCTTAAAATTTTTTATAGCCATGTCTTCAACATTTTCCTTTACACGTGTTGGCTCATGCAGGTAGACTTTGTATTTCTGAATACACATTTCAAACGTGAACTACATTTACACGAAAAATCATCATTTTCTCTTAATTGTTCAACGATACTTGTAGGTCATATATTAACAGAGTTAGAAATTATTTGTGTTCTTTAAAAAGATGCATTGTTAGAAATAAAGAATAACTTTTAGCTGAAAATTCAGCAGTTTGATTTAATGAAAACGTCATTGTGAAAAACAAAAGAAAATATGTAAGTGTATTGTTTCAAGCGTAGTTTCATTCTCTTTTTTATCAATCAGAAATAGTGAATTCAATCAATATGTAATTCAAGTTTAAAATATACTTAGAACATATTATTACTGCATACATGAGAAAATAGTCAAACATGTGACGTCTGCTGATCATTTCCCATTTCGCATAAGACTTTTAACAGATTTCAAGAAATTTCAATGAAGTTTCAAGAACATCTGAGATCGGACTTGTCTTTACAACATTCTCTATTCTTTTTTTCTAATGACTGAGAAAATCATATTGGGTGTTATTTTATTAGAAATAAAAAATCTCCTCTAAAAACATTCGAATATCCACTATGACGTTTTTTTTATCTGAGACAGTCTTAAACTTTTTAGTATATCAATAAGACAATAACAATTGTTTTTTCTAATAAAATAAAATCGATGAAAATCAAACCTGTTCTATTGATAAAATTTGAAGAAATTGTTTATCTGTTGCACTTTTATGCATCTTTGAGTCACATTTTCTGAATGATTCAGTTTCTTTGTCAGTTTTGATTGGATTTAACCTATTTCAAAAGTTTCAAAAGACTTCAAACTCCATGAAGCCAATTATTTCTCCTTGTTGAAAAGAATATTTTACTGCTATCCTTTATTTAATTGTACCATAAAATTGTGCATAAAACCCAAGCACAAAGAGCGTGCCACTTAATCAGAAAATATACAGTCTTGAGTTTATTGAGGTGTTCTAGCTTGTATCCAATGGCGAATTCAAATATTTCTTCAAGCTTGTGGATAGCGGTAATTGACTGAGCTTTTTTAAATCAAAATGAAGTTCTTTACGAATCATTTATTTAGCAGCGAATTTCAATGAAGCTGTTGATTGATTGGGTCGTAGATACGAATATTTTTTCATGCTCAGCCCTGTTTTGATTGAACAATTCTTTAGCTTTTGGATTCATCAAGCAGTTAGTCTTGTTAGCTTCCGGTTGATCAGTTACATTTACAAAATGTTTTATCAATCGACTTCTACGAAAAGTCGGCATCCATTCATCATAATAACATCGAGTACAAAAGTATGGCTTTGAATCATCGTCGTTCACTACTGGATGATAAATATATGTTAACAGTTGTACGTCTGGTGTTTTGAAAAGGAATTCTGTAGATACTATATAAATATGATTCGGTTCGTGATAATAAATGTCCAAATATGCAGAATTGTTTTAATTTCTCATTATTTCCAGAATTTTCATATTGACAGTACAATTGAACCTCATGATTTTTAGTCAATTCTTTGAGCTCACTGGACAGTCGTTTTAAAAAATACTGAAGAAACGCTAATATAGGAGAGAGGAAATGTGAACAATTACGATTTTAGTGTTCAGCTGTCACTATTTTTTATTTGCAGCAGAAAGTGTATAAAAATAATGTAAAGAAGAAATTTCCAACATGAATACTTGCATAACAATCTGACGACATGATTGAATGATTATTGGTTACACTATGAATAATGACACGCTATAATATGAAGGTAAGCAAACATTTACATGACTATTATTTTCATATCGTGTTTATTTTGTTATTTTTTTGTTCTAAGTTGAGATAAAATACATATACGTTGGCGGATATATGTAAATCGTCATTGCACAAAATTGCATTTAGGTCTTAATGTGAAGAGCAGATGGCAAGAGAACATTTGATGCTATTTTAATTCTGCAGCATCTACATAAAAGCTCTGTAATAAGTTTGATCCTCTTCAAGTCTCATTCTTTTCTTATATGTTTTTTCAGTGGAATAGGCTGAGATTTTGTAGCATAAATAGTAGACATCTAGATCTACTCTACATTAGGGTATGGGTGCAATTATTCATGTTATCTTCATTCAAATCCACACTCATACCTACACCACATCCTTGTTTAACTTGAAAAACTGAATATAATGAAACTCATCATCATTATCGTTATGATAATCGTTTATCTGTGAAAAAGGCGGAACAAAAAACAGTCAAAATGATTATGAAAGCAGATGATCTCGATATAGAAAAATTGATGTCAACGTCCATTACAAGATTTACCCAATTGGTTCCAGGGCAAAGTACCCAATTATGAATATGATTATCCAATGGACTTCGAAACATGCTACTATCCATAGATTTTCTTCTTTCTTCTGTATTCATGAGCTAGAGAGCATTAATGTGAATCAATCAGTACTGAAAAGAATAACTGTTTTTTTTTAAAGCTATTATAATTACTTCAAATCCTGTTTTTTTGGTCAAACTACGTTAGGTCTCCTTTAAATTAGCTGAGACGTTGGGTTAATTAGCGAGAATGAACTTTTATGTAGTTAATTACGTAGGAGAACATCATTATAATATTGACGTAAATTCGAAAAGGAGTGCTTCCAAGTCGTGATCATCAAAGATCTTATCTGTCATTTGTATTTCCTATACTGTATTAGAACAATCTCAAATAGAGATACACACTCTAATGAATTACCAGGACTTGTCGAAGATACGAACCAGACCGTATTAATTATTAAAGAATAAAATTTTGTCAATAAATACAATAGATTGCCAATTATACTCTTACTTTTTTTTAATCTTTTCAGTCATACTTGTCCTTACTTTCTTTTATAGATTTGAAAACTTCAATACACGATAACCGTATATATGTAGTTGATTAATTCCGTGTACAAAGCGGAATTTTAAAGGATCTAGGTTTTCAGTACAGCGACACGTTCACCCACATCTATCCATTCACACGTCACAGGATACGACATACTGATTAAAACATTGTATGTCAGCTCTATTTCGGTTTAGAAGAGTGATAAAACTTTAAACCTTTTTTAAAATATGCAGCAAGAAAAGTCGTAGAAAGAAATTCCTATTGATTCCGTTCTAATAATATGAGTATGTGAAAGCCACTTGACTGAGTCATTAGGAATTTCATTACACAGTTTTTATAGAGTTTTTTACGACGCCTGTGAAAAGAACCGTTCAAGATTTTAGCATTTTACTAAGCCGCAATATAGGTGCTATACAAAATCTTGCAAGCTTTATGCCACATCGGGTAATTCAAAGAAGAACATATAATTTTTCATTTAAGAAATTTAGAGACAAAACTTGCGCTCAATCGATTCTAGAATTTATGAAAACAATATCATAAAAGAATGTTCTAATAGAACTCTTCAATGAATAACTTCTATGAAAAAATCATTAAAATCTTTGCACGAGTTTATTCTGCTGAGAGTGTAGGTTTTGATGAAATGAATATAGGCAGACAGACAGGCCTAACATCACTCCTTGATTGTATCGGCTAAATAAGATTTAATCAGTTCTGAATATAATCTGTAAAATTTCTAAGAGCACTGAACAACTATCTCATATTTGACGATTTTTTATTGAAATAAAGATTATCCAGTGAATAGCAATAATTGAACAGATTATTGAATAAATATGGTACAAGAATAGATCGAAGAATAGTAAAAACCGTTGACTCTAATCTAATTTATATAAAGAATTTCTGTACAAAGCCATATTCACAAACAAAAAGTTAATTCATTATCATTGCCATATCCGTAGAATGGAGTCGATTTCTATATTAAAGGTGTCTTGACAGATATCCATACTGATATATCCGAACAGTAGTCGAATCAACTGATCCAATTTGTTTTTAAAAACCATAGATATGGCAAATGTTCACCATCCCGTTGAATGTCGAAACAATCATCATATTCAACATTTGTTTGAAGCTTAATTTTAAGTGAACGAAGATTAGGAAAGCATCGAACTAGTGCAATGACAGTATTCAAGGAGTTAATCTCATTGTTTTCTAAGATCAGATGTAATACATTTGAATAAATGATTGAAGTTTTTAATAATTTCAATTTGTCAAAGAATGTCAATGCCTAAATACGTTTCGTTGAAAGTAACGAAACCATTTCGACCTTGGCTATTTTCAAATGACGAAGTCGACGAAATTTCATATAATCGTCAGAAGAAACATTGTATGCGGTTAGAACGTTAAGTATATGAATATTTGGAAAACGTCTTGATAAATTTTTACATGGTACAGCGACAAAGTTAGATATTGAACATTCGGACAAATACTAATCGTGTCATCATCTGCTAATGTCGATATGTGAAGTCGTTTGAATGACCATGAAATCGTATACAAATAATTATAAAAACTATTCAATTTCGGTTTATTCGTTAAATGCCAACGTTTGCTTAATGTTGTAAAAGTCTAAAAATAAATCATGATAAAAATACCCTACACATGGATGAAATTTAGTATTTGAGTGATTGAATAATTTATGTGGATAATGGTTATATTTAACAAAGTTAACAAGTGAACCATTCAACAAAATTCAAAAGGCACTATTTTTTAAAACCTAATTATCGACTTATGTGACTGATACATATTCGAAAGAATTTGAAACACATGTGGAAGTTTGAAATCGATACGTTCAAACTACTATTAAATGCAATGAATCGAAGAAATGAATCATTTCTAGACTATTCACTGTAGTCAACGTGCACACAGAATATAAACAGTTGCACTTTAATATTAGCATGAAGCAAATATGTTCAAAAAATCGATAGTATTTAAATAACATTCATAAAATCATACAGTTTTCCAATGTGCTTCAAAAAGAAACTGTTTCGACCTTCACAGTAGCAATGATTTTACTACAATGAATGTCTCTGGTATGAATAGTGGTAAAACAATAGATGGATTTCTATTCAGAGATGTTGAATAGGCTATGTTGGAATTTGTCATAATCTGGCTTAGTGAATTTGACACGTGAGTAAGCCTTTATGAATGATTGTTGACTTGACTGATGAAATGAGCTATATTTATAAGAAAATAATAACAGAAGAGTCTATCCAGGTCTAACTCACCCCATCGGATCCGATGGGAATTCATCGAACGTTGCCGGATGTCGGAATGACCAGAATTCCTGTTGGAATGCCGAAATTCCGACACTTCCCGATATCCGACAACTTCCGATGAAATCCGATTACTTTTTTGATAGGATCCGACGAGATCTAACTGTCGGATTGTTCGTCCTGGGTATTCAATAAAGATGTCGTTATTCAGTAACATATGTAATAGATCAGTGCCCTAATATTCATTTATTGGGTCGTCAAAAGTGAACCAGATTCAAGTCCACAGTCCGTACTTCACCCATACTGACTGATGAAATGAAAGAGCCCTTGAAAGGTGTCATATGTATTGGAATTCATTTTTATATAATTTAATTGCTATTATTTTCGATTCTTTAGTAAATGTTCGATTGAAATTAATTTTGTGTTCTGAAGTTCAGTATTCGAAATTGAAGATAGTCAATGCATCATTGTAGAATATAATGTGATAAAACTTTTAGATAAGAATCTCATATTTCAAAGTATAGTAATCAAACTTTAATCTTATTTTCTAGTATCAATTGATAAAATCCATCAAATTTGCTTTATATTTGGAGAATCATTTTTATTTATTTATTTAGAAAATGTAACGATAACAACATTTAGTTATAGAAGGTAGAGGAAAAGAGTTTAATAATAACATTTTCTTGATTGTTTTTTGCATATTGTGAGCCATCTAGTATAAATGTAGATCGTGATTTTATAGTCAAAGAGATTTTCTATGTGATATATTCTAAACTAAGATTTCATAGGTGAATCTTCATGGGAAGATGCCTGAATAAAACTGGTACTGTTAGTTTTCAGATTTTACTAGGCAAAGTCTTATCTAGTTTTAAACAATATCATTTTCAAGAAAATGAAATTATTTTTCTTTGTAGGATCATTCTTTCAAAATTAAGAGCATTATGAAAAAAAACGAACTAAAATTGTTATATTATATTTTTTGATAAACTTTGCTGTCTTACAAATTTGTTAATACTTTTAAATTTTCAACAGCTGTTCATAAAAAGGTGAGCAACCCTCTTTTGTTTAAAATGTTGTGTTCTTGAAAATGACATATTAAAAATAGATATGATCAAGTCAAATTGAGTCTGAAAATTAACATGCTTGATTTTTTTGAAGAGTCTTGTCAGTATAGTTTATCTAAGACATCTTATTATAGAATACATTAGATAGAAAACTCACTTAGTTATTCAAAAGAAAAATATTTAGATTTAAACAAAATGTCTCACATTATAGAAATAAAAACCAAAAAGCATTCCTTATAGTTGAACTTTTTTCATCACTTTCTATCATAAGAATAAAAATTGAAACCTCCGTCCTGAAGTAGTACAACAAAATTTACAAATATATTAAAAAAAAGACATTATCTAAAAATAGAAAAAGTAGAGAATACAGGACCAATAACTAATAAAATTAGTATTGTTCATGTATTCGTTCTTTTATCGCAAATAATCTGTTAATATTAGATAGATTTTGTTAATAATTTATTTTTTTGTGCCTTAAAAAGAAAAAAAGCAGAGTATGAAATAACGAAAGATTCTATGTAAATTTGAATTCGAAATTTAATCAGTAGATAAAAGTTAGTTCAAGTTTTTCGTCTGAATAAAAAACAACTGAGAAGCAGATAAACGCAGTTTATGTTAGACATGACATGTAGTTCCATCGTATTTCTATTAAAAATTGCAAAAGGAAAAGAACATTTTAAATAGCTCTAAGACATGAACTTCTTATCGGATTGTTTTTTCAATAATTTGTATAAGAAGTGAGCCTCCTATTCACTTTGATTCAGATGAATGGTTTATTTTTGTAGACTCATTTATTTACTTGATCGCATATTCCAGTGTAACTCACATTGATTCCATTATTATCTTCATACGTTTTTTGTTTTGTTGCTATTCTACTGTTGACATTGATTTGACAATAGTCGTACATAATCTATTTTTGATGTCACCGTCTAAATAAAAGTTATTCTATCCGTAGGAGTTAAATGACTTAAGTAAATCCTATCACTGATAAACTAAAAAAGAACATGTTCTGATATTTCTGNTTCAAGGCATATTCGAAGTCCTAAATGTATTTTCTTTTTGTGGAGTAAAATCAAGCAGAAAAAAGAAAAACGGACCATGTAAACAGAGAACAAATACTGCCTACTCATCAACGTGTCTAGTTTTTATCGTATTTGTAAGACTTACGAATGGTTCTCAGTGCTTTTGATTATGCGACAAAAGATGTTCCGATGAGAGGTGTAATTTTTCTTTTGACCGGTGCCCGGGCTTAAAACTATTGGAGACCGAGCGGCGCCCGGCCATGCCCACCCCTAGTTACGCCACTACTGAATCCTTCTACAACTTTTTGTTTTTATTATGTTACTATCAGAAGTTAGTATCAATCATTTTAAATGTAGAATTACAATACATAGGAATGTCAACTCAATTGTTAAAATATCGATCAACTATTGTTTTCATTTATGTTCTTTTGTTTCTCATATGTATAAATAAATAAATTTATTATTGATTTGAGATTTCTATTTTCTATTCGTTTTTTTTTATATGAAGGTAGAAAATAAATAAATAATAAAATATGAATATTTATTAAAATATACTTACTAACTGAACCTTTGCCACGTAATTCCTCTTCGAGTGATCGCTTAGCTTCATCCAATTGTTGTTGTAATGCTGTTTTACCTTTAGTTAAAAGTCCAATTTGAGATTCAAACTCTTCAACTTGTCTAGTTAAAGTTGAATTTTCACTAAATAATTTTGTTTTAACATGTGTTAAATCAGTTATTTGTTTAACGTGATCTTCAAGTTTTATTTGAATATCATTTAATTGTTGTTCAAGTTGTTTTGAAAGTTTTTCACTAGCTGCTTTGCCTTTTTGTACATGTTCAATTTGTGTACGTAAATCGTCTAATTCAGATTTAACTGTTTGTTTTTCTTTTTCTAATTTATTCTTTAATTTTTGTAATTGATCAATTTGTTCACCCATTTCTTTAAAGAAAAAAAAAACAAAGAAATTATTAAAATGTTAAAATTAACAAAAAAATTATTTTACCAGTAACAGCATCTTGATGTTTCTTTCTTAATTGTGCAGCTGTAGCTTCATGTTGAAGATTAGCCTCTTCTAAATCTCGACGAAGTTTTTGTAATTCTGATTCACGTTTCTTATTCATTTCAACTTGTGATGTTGTTGCACCACCAGCTTCTTCTAATCGATCATTCATTTCATCAATTTCTCTTGCTAAATCAGCTCGTTGTTTTTCTGTTTTTGTTCTAGATTGTCGTTCATTTTCAAGTTCTTCTTCTAATTCTTCGACACGTGATTGTAATTCTTTTATTTTCTTGCCAAGACTTGTTGCTTGTCCTTGTTCATCTTCAAGACGTCCGCCCATTTGTTGAATTTCTTGATCTTTACGTTTAAGAGCTTCTTGTAATTCACGTTTTGATCGATCTAATTCTTCTACACTACTTTGTAATGTTTTTAAATCTGTTTCAAGTTTTCGTTTTGATTTATCTAAATCAGCACGAGCTTTCTTTTCACGTTCTAAACTATCTTCTAATTCATCAAGTGTTTGTTCAAGTTTAGCTTTTAATTTATTTAAATGATTAACTTTATCTTCTTCAGCTTGTAATTGTTCAGTTGTTTTAGTATTTTGTTCTTCAAGACGTTTACGTTCACGTGTTAATTTTGCAATATTTTCATCTTGATGAGCTATTTCATCTTGTAATGTATGAATTTGAGTATCACGTGATTTACATTCATTTTCAGATTTTTGTAAATTTAAACGCATATCATCAACATCTTTTTTCAATGTATCTATTTCTTGTTCAAGTTTTTTTCTCTTATTATTTAATTGTTGAGCACTTTCTTCTTCTTGACTAAAACGATCTTCTAAATCTTTAACTTGTTGTTCAAGATCAGCTTTTTCCGTTACTATAAAAGCAAAATAATATGGTGAATATTTATTAGAAACAATCAAATATATGTATATTGTGATGTTGAATTTCAAATTTAACCATGTCCCTAACTCAACTATAAATATTTGATGATATTAATTATCTTTTCTAATGAAACTCATAAAGAGAAGTCAGAAAATATTAGAATTTAATGAAAATTAAATTTTTTCTCTTATTTCCTATTTCAAAAAGAAAAACAATAACTTCAGATAATCGTAAAACTGTTGAAATAACAGTATCAAAGATTTTCACAATCAAAACTCGAAGAAATTTAATGTTGATTTGTGAGAACTCAAACCTTAGTATATTTATTAGAGCCTATATTTGGATATATGTAATAAAAAGAAACTTACCTAAGCGTGTAAAACGTTCTTCAGCTTCTGATGAACCAACTCGTTCAAATTCCAATTGTGTAAGTAAATCATTTTTTTCTTAAAAATATTAAAAAAAACAACAAAATAAATAATAATTGTTGTTGTTGTTGTTTTTTTTTCTCTTACCTCGAATTAATTTTGCATTATTATCTTCAACTTCTTTTCTTAATTTTTCTTCTTTTTCTAAAGATTCTTTAAGTCCTTTGAATTCTTCTTCAAGTTTCTTCATTTCTTCTTCTTGTCTTGCAACAGATAATAATGGTTTAACTTTTGTATATAATTTCCACCATGGCCAATTACGTAATGATAAGTATTTACGACAATTACGTTGTAATACAGTTAAAGCTATACGTTTTTCTAACATTTTCTTGTAATCTTTCCTCATAAGATAACCACGAACTTGTCCTTGTAAAGCAGCAACAATTTTTGATAAAGCAACATCACGCATATCTTCTAATTGACCTAATGTACCTGCTCTGAAAAAGACTTTAGTTGAACCACAACGATATAATTCTTCAGATAATTGACAATCTTTAAGAATATTTTCTGTTGCTTTCTTAGCATCAACAAAACCTTTTGGAATAGCATTTGGTGCCAAAATTGAATAACGTTGTTTAAATTCCGAATAAATCATACGATTTGGAAAACCTTTACGACAAATACGAATACCTTCAAGTACACCGTTACATGTTAATTGATGCATAACTAAATGTGAATCAAGTACACCACCAGTTTTAATTTCATTCGGAATAATACAACGAACAAAATGTGGATGTGTTTGTTTTAAGTTATTCATTAATTTATTTAATTGTTCCTGAAAAAAAGAAAAATTTCAATTATTAATTAAAATTCATGACAGTTATAGAAAAAAAAACTTACACGATGTGTAGCTGAAATAGTTTGCATACTACCACCACCTTTCTTTTTACCACCAGCTTTAGCACCAGCACTATCTTCTTCAGCAACATCAGCAAAGAGAATACTT